TGGTAATGGCTTTCACACTTCGCTGCCAAGTCATTGTTTGACCGCCTCTGGCTCTCTTCCACCCTTCCCGTGGTTGTGTGAACAGAGCCCTTCGAGAAAGTCGGTCGACTGGCATACGCAGCACGTGACCAAGCTAGCACCACACTACGCTTCCTCTGTATTCCCGGGACGTCATTTTTGAGCACATTCTTCGATCCCATCCGACAACAGAGCTCCGTGTCCACAAAGCTCAAAATTAGGAGTGGCAAGCCTCTAATTCCCACGGAGATTTTGTACAAGCCGCGGCTAGGTTCTTCTTACACTCATCTTGACTCCTTTCGAGAAAGAGTACCTGACCGAGACTGTGACACTGCAGCCCGTCTTTCATTTGACCGTAACAGTAGCCTATTTAATTCCAGCGGTCCCTTCACTCCCCTCCAGAATAACTCGCCTTTGAAATCAGTCGCCTCTTCCGTATTCCTGAACTCCAATAACTGTCCGAGCACCCAGTTAAAACACACTTCTTCCACAAGTAGAATAATCATGTGCGATAGGATATTTTTTGTTATGGAGGTCGTAGTGAAGAGAGCATTTGTGAAAATAAATACACAAATCAAGGTAGTTTATCCTACTTCCGGTTTGCAGAGCATGAAACTAACGGGGCATCACGCATACCTGATGCGAACGAGTGAAGCAGTCGAATTCAAATCCGTTGCCTGGAAATGAACGGGCCTGACGTGCACGCCGTAGGAGAGTGAATGTGACGCAATAAGACTATCGATATCAAGCGTAGCCATTCATACCGAAAGAAAAATCAGACTTTAGTCTGGAGGTCAGGTAGACTAGCCAAGTTGTAGAAAATACTGTTGAATAATGCTAACTTACTAAACTACTTAATCGATGCTCACAATTTTCGTCCCCGACCATTGGGAGGAGGACTGCATTATATATATATATACGTAATATATTAGGTTGCATAACGCTACCGCCGGATCTTCCGAAAATAAACATTAGTTTGGTGGGAGCGAAGTGACTGACCAGCCGTATCGCAATTAAGCTCACCGTTTTCAATCTCCATATGTTAATATCAAGACTTACAATTTCCCGTCTTAACGGTCTTTTAATTCCAAGCTTGTAGGCTTTAGCCCACTTAAGCTGTTACTTCCCAAGTTGGATGGCCTAAATTGATGATCGGTTGTGGATTGAGGGCACGAAGCGAATAAGAAGAAACCCGCCATTTTGGCTAAAACATACGAAATTTGCGACCTCCGGTGTTTGTGGTACGGTTACCCAATCACTAATATTTAGTGATCTATCTCTATACAGGGAACGTTGGATCCTCACAATTGTCTTGACATCACCAAGACCTACTAGAGAGCGCGGAACCTGATTAAATAAGGTTACAACGCATGAGTCACCCAGCTGCACAGTATCCCATAATTTGCACGGGTCCAACATGGCCACTTGTCACTCATTTGGGTCAGAGTGCAGTAGGAGCGCCCACCATGCAAGTGTTCTTACTGACTGGGGCATCCCTTCACAAGGGTGTATCGACTTCACCTCCGTCTCATAAATAAATCATTCAGCTGTGGCACGCTTTCGGTGCCTTGATACCATGCCAACGGAAGGAAGCACGAGAACTGGGATACTGCCCAGTTGCCGAAGCCTAGAGAGAAGCAGTCGAGATGCAGACGTTGGGTTCGAACCACGATCCTTCCGCCCCGTAAGCTGACGCTTAAACCACTCAGCTCTCTCGAGCCATCACATAAGACTGGGCGAAACTGGCACATTCCCCCTCGAGCTCGCTGTTCCGTTGTATGTTCGCTGCTATCATGTGACATAGATTGTCATAGCTGCACTACGCTGGTTGATCCTGTCACTCGCCTGATGTAGGTCTAGTATCTACTACCTGTGCCACACTTAGTACACCCAACAATCCACCACCATCAAGATTGACTTCGGATTTTTTCAACGCAGCAGTCACAGTGCGTTTGCTTACCCGTCATCGGTGGCGCAGTTACCACGGCCAGGTTCAACCTATATGACTTCAGTGTGGTTCGGGGTCTATTAGCCGCAGAATGCTCTTAGCTGCACATCCTTTACGAGTGAAGTAAGACTTTTTGCGCCAAAATGTTGCATCTTGTTGCCCATGTGCTCAAACCAAAAACCATCCTAATCTACATTCATATTTTTGCAGCTCACCAAATTTTATTGCCCACTGAAGCAATCGTACCACTGGCGGAAAAGTCTGGTGGAACAATTTCCCAGCATCGTTGAGATTCCGGGATGCTTAAATGGGACTCAAAAGTTTGGACTGGTAGTCAGAATTCCATTGCTCGATTGCTTTGGTGCACCAGTGACATGTCATAGACTTCGAAAATTCGATTTCATTGTGCAAATACTGTGCGCCGTGTGGTGCTGACTGATTCGAATTTTTTCAGCGCGTGGGCAGTGTGTGACATAGACCAATGAAAACACAAGACTGCAGTCGTATGACAGGGTGACGCATCTACTGGATGGCGTATGCGCGCACAAGTGATGATGATGATGCGAATAAGGACAATGTTCGCGGCCCGTAAAGGGGCTTCTGTCGATATGGTTATGGTTGCAAACACTCATTGTGGTACGTTGGGAAACGGTCCGTTTCGAATCTGAAACGAAACCCACACGACTTGTGCAATTTTCCCAAGCTGAAACAGTGTTGTCTGGCAAACGATTTTTGACTTCTGCGAGCTACCATAATTGCCGTGCGGTTATCCTGATATAAATAACGCTGTTAGATTCTTGGACTAAGTCACATACAAGTCAACGAAGTAGCTTAGGTCTAGCAATAGAAAGACAGCCCTGGGGTGTTCCTTCTTCATCAGGGTGGAATAATCACCAAATGGATGCCACAAAACTTTTATCTCCATGGTGCATCCTCTGACGTAAAGAAGCAATGTACTAGTGACCAGGAAAACTCATACACGATGTCAAACGATAAGACATTCATCTATCAGCTGAGGTCAACATATAATATTGCATTGCGCATGATGGAATTCACATCGAATTCACGAGATCAGATGCAGCTGCTGCTGTAGCGCAGTAGTACTGATAACAAAGGGAATGGAATTGCATTGTGAAGGTCAGATATAGGAAATAGGAACCATAGCGATCGCACGTGCGCAAAAGAGCAGCATTTTCGAAGAAAACCAAGAAAACTGGTGAGTTAAAGACAACAACAGTCAAATGAATGGGGTGATGTGTCAAGAGGGTATATATATATGTACGTATGTATGTATATATATATACTTCGACACACTGGTGATACTAGGGTGGAAGCGCTACTACAAATGAATGAGTTGTGCCCTGGAAAAGACGGACAGAATATTGAGGGCGAGCGCACGCACGTTAACCGGATGGGGGAAGAGACGTGTGCTAATTCGCGAGGGGTAAAAACTTAACGTGACGAATAGGAGGAGAACCGAATATGACCTTAACTCCGACAACTTTGAATCCAAAAAGGTTATAGAAAATAACTGAATCCTCTAGAAACAGCTCATAGAGACAAGATTGAGGGGAGGGCGCAGACCAGGAGGAATAGTTCATAGGACTATATACAGGGATGTGAGAGAGAATTCATTTTTACCTAGTGGAGGACGCGTATAGGGCAAAAAATTCGTAACAATTCCACTGGTGATCCGTACATTATAAACCAATGACAACGTGGTTTTCTAGAAAAGAGTACCCGGTACAGGTGACAAAGGGGTTTTGAGAATCGAGTGTAAGATGGAGATGAACCCACAAACCGATAAAAGACGAATAGTATGTTATAGGGTGGGGCGAGGAAAAACAACACACGAGTAATCTTGATGTTTCCTACCGGGAATAAACAAAACCAATGCATGTGAAAACACGAGGTAAAAGTATGAACCAAAAAGGTGAGGAAATGCGTGTGTGTGAGAGAGAGCTCAAACCAATGGTGATAGCATCAATGGCGAGATTCGTGTTGTTAACACGCTAAACGAGTGTGCCGCTGCAGAAACACTAACAAAGGGAATAGCAATAACCAATCTAATGTCATGACAGGCGATCGGTTAGTGGGAAAACCGTTCTGTTCATGTCAATTGGATCACCACGCAGCGGACGATAAGAAGTCGGAAGAGGAAGGGGGAGTCCGAAATAGGACCGAGGACGCCGATGGGCGATGATGAGTAGATGCGTGATACGTGCCATATACAATGAGTAGTGGAAAGGAGTTCAATAAACGTGGCTGGTAACTAAGACGAGTTATTAGAAGAGGAGGAGGCAAAAATCACCTCATACAGGTTGGCGCGTTTATCACCAGACCCAGTCACAACGAATTTGTCGTCCGGTGAAATGTCACACGTGAGGACCGATGCAGCTTCTTTGGTCTAAGAGTGTGAGGAATAACGGGTAGAAATATACGGTGAGATGTATCGTGAGATGAAAAGCGAAAGTGTGATACAAATATATGAACAAACGGCGGTCTACAAAACAACAATGATTGAGATGGTGGACGCATCATAAAATTATCAGGATATCTACCATTTGATGGCCAGAAAAACGCTGTACCAATCCGTTCGCAACAAAGCCGTATTGCTCATCAGTGACACAAGGACGCAAGACAAACTCACCTCTAGGAGACAAGCACCATACGGTGTACGCCAGGCGTTCACCTGATGATCTTTGCCTGTAGTTAGGAACCAGTCACCATGGTGGGCGAATCGGAGGGCTAAAACACAACTCTCGTGGTGTGTTAATCGGAAGTGCTGAGGTTGCGGTGTTGGAGGTTGAGAATAGGACATGGGAGACAACGCGGGACTAGATTCGTCACGCGATCCAGCAGCAGAATTCGAACTACTGACGGCAAACCCATCAGGACCGATTGCAACTACTTCGACCTCGGATGATTCGAGACCCACAGCCAACCAACTGCCAACACCCGAACCACCCCTGCTTCCGACACCACCGCCACCACTAACAGACTGAGGACTCGATGAGTCACGCATCAAGCCGGTGCTAGAAGCTGAGTCCCCATCGCCTGATCGAGGGGAAACCGAAGCAGTCTGCCGTCGACCAGCAAAACCATGTCCATGTGGAGAACCGTAATTAGTGGTCAGCCCCAAGGAGAAAACTTGGGATTTGAATTCCATGAAGGCGAGAGAGCGGGACGTCTGGAATTAAAAAAGAAGTGATTTGATCGCAAACGAATGAGCGGATGTTAACTAACCAAGTCGGATACACATCGACAGAGACAATAGGTCATATTCATGCTAACGAGTTGCAACACACTGGTGCCATGTGAGGCTGTGACCAAACAAGATGTGGCGCGTTTGTAATGGGAGTGGTGCTGAGCTCGGGGAAAGTTCACCGAGGATGACGCGACTATTCCACCCGAAGAATACGTCTGAAAGCCTTCCATAACTTTACCAAATGCCGTGCGAAGTTTATTGCCTCCATAGACAAAATACTACAAAGGCATAAGGCCAACAGAAAGTTGGAGTGGTGTTCCGAAAACATAGATGCGCACACGGTGTAAAGCGCACAACGTAATTAATCGATAAGTACCGACCTTTCGACATGAGGTCTTCGAGAGTACATGAAGTACATGAGTTGCCCCATCACTAACACGGGCGACGGTGGCCTTTTTCTACTGATGACAGTCTATTGTTCAGTGTGTTGAAGATGTTCACAGAACTGGTTATCTCGCATTTCACGGAACACCTCCACCAAAAAGGTATATTATAATGGTTGAAGAAGAGCCTCGTGTTCGTAATCGGGTACCCAAGCATGGTCCTAGAACAGCACAACCACAGGTAGTTAACCTGTAACCTGTTAATACGAAATACTATGTAAACTACTTTGATGGACGTAGTTCAAAAGCTTCCGAAATTTCTTTTTACAGGTTCGGTTCGACTAACCAGCAAAGAAAGGTGCCACCACATCTGGATAGGTCTACATTTTGAGTTTTGAATCATTAGGTCGTTTTACGGCTACCTTTGATCTCACCTCCACCCTACCTTAATTTAACTATAAATGCAAACAAAACACCAGAAACCAATCTCTCCTTTTACCCGAATGACTTCCGCTTGCTTCTGTGTGCTGAATGAGGGTACGGTGGAGTACGGGTGAGTGGGGCCCGCTTTTTAATTCGATTAGTTGAACTATCAAGTTCTTGCTCATAGGCGTCATAACAATTGATCATAAATAATGATCTGGATCCACTAGGAATCGGATAATTTTCAACCCATCCTCTTGAAAATTTTCATATTAATGAGAACAAAATAATAGTTGATTTCACGTGTGTTTGAACCAAGTCTACAGAAACGTCACGTGACTGGTCTTTGGCCATCCATCTGAAATGCCTTAATTAACAACTTTCGTACTTAGACTGACTGCAAGGTTCAGAATTCATAGTATGGTGACTGTCAGGTATGCCGTAGGATTAACAAGCAAGACCTAAAAAGCAAGCTGCCAGTAAAGATAAGATAACTTCATACATGAGCTAAAATATTGTGAGCCTGGAGCCAAAGTGTTCTGCTACGATCCGTATACTTGATAAACTGCACTATTCAGAAAATGGCCTCGATATGGATTCCAAGTGTTCCCTCCCCATGAAGTGTCTGCTCGACGCTTACTCAAATGTCTGAATGAGCAACGCAGATATCAATGAAGTTTTAAGTTTGAGTATGCCAAACTATATTGGACCGTGGAACTCTGCTAAATCCGTCCGTAGACAGAACAATTACAAACTATATTGGACCGTGGAACTCTGCTACATCCGTCCGTAGACAGACAGAATAATTGAATCGTTTAACCGTAACACCCTTTGGACGCAAAGCTATCATGAGAGCGGAAGCAAGTGCGAGGACTAAGATATGCCGCTCAAGCTATCCAGCTGGGTAGTCTTTGGGTCAGTAGAGGGGTTTGGAAGTAGTCAGCAGGGACTTGTGTTTCGCTTGCGTGGCACTTTCTAATCTAGAGTTATTATAGCGATAAACTGGAGATGCTGCACACGAAGTCAACATTAGCCGACTTTGGTAATCCATATTAATGCCAGAGTTCGTGATTAAGGCGGCATCCCAACGCAGTTTCATTTTTCGCTTTGCAAGATAACTTTTGTGAAATAAGTTGCTATTGTTGGATCGCACGGCGATTCATTAGCGAGGATGATAGATCCGGTAGTGATTAGGGAAGCAGTAAATTGTAGAAAACGGCTTCCTCAAGATGGAAAGTGACCGGCGACCATAGTTCAAAAAGAACTTACGGGAGCACGAATATCCCAACAGCAGACTTTGTGATCCAGACCACCGGTCCATAGACGGTTTCCATCTGGACACAGTTCAACGCAAGAGGTTCCGTCTGTATGACCGTGGAACTGATGAACGACACTTTGATTGTGCACATCCCACACAGAAACATAACCATCGGAGCAACAGCTAAAGATGATGTGGAGATATGAGAGACATGAGCTTAGCTATACACCACGTTTCGGGACTCGATAATAGCACTCATCCTGCATGAAAGGTACCGGTCTAGAGCCGATGGTCTAGACAGGGGTTGACGATAACCACATGACCAAAGTGATTGGTCTGACGCAACAGTATCAACAATAACTGCGAAAATGTTAGACCACAATAAGACCACTAAACAGTAATAACCAGCGGCTCGATCAAAAATAACTGCTGCAGAGAGGGCACCAGTGTAGAGACTAGCATGAATAAATTGAGACTTTTGTATAAGTCTAGTCTTCTTTCATCGATTTTAGAGTTCGAATAATGTAATTAAAGCTGGCACACATTTTACTCCATCCATTGCTTTTTTTCAGATTTGTGAGCTCAAATTTTAAGTCAGCTTAGGAATTTGAAGTTCACTATAAATAGAAATTTCTTTATGGAGAGAAACATGGCTGCGATACTGTGACGACCCCGTCGTTCTCAGTGCTACCAGCTGTGAAAGCTATTGGCTTATCAGCCATCATGTAGCCAATGTAGGCTGTCAGTTAAGCATCATTAATTCCACAGAAAAAACGCCGTACGCTACTGTACGTTGTCAATCAACCGATCGAGTAGAACGAAATGACCCTCGGTTATCAATAAACCATTTTGGCAAGGAAAATTCGCTGTTATGACCTGTCCAGTCCTCTCACGTTTTTTCAACCATGCAACAAGGTTTTTAGAGATTAGCTGTACGGTGATACGTCAGTAAAACATTTACTTGGTTCTGCTTGGTTAGCCGTCAACCAAGCAGTGAGAAAGTGCATTCGGCCGATATGCTCATGCACTGGGGGTCACCTTCGTAAAGAAGGTTACGTTTGTCGTTGTTTTGTCTCCAACTAAGAAAGCTCTGTAACGCAAAGACGCGGAATGGACGCCTTTGAGAACGTATTAACACAAGGCATGCACATACAGCTCAGTTCAGTCTCGCTCCAGGATAGTGAGAGTCGTGAATGACAGGCTAAATAAGTTGGCCGAGTGGTCTCCATATGAACACAGTACACTGGGAATTACGCGAGGTTGACTACACAACCTCAAGCGCAAGGATACGCTAATGATACCAGTTATCTTCAGTTCTTGTCAGCCGATGCATCGGTGAGATAACAGTATAGATCTCTGAAGCTTCATTTAGAGCAACTCAGGAATAAAGTGTGAATATCCCACCCTAATCACACCAACAAATTCATCAATCCAAGTGACGGAAAACGCAACAAGACTGCTTTTGAGGGCTTGGCCATATCATCGTTTGTCACGGAATCTGACAAGTTATGGTAATCCATAAGGATAGCTCTTCATCACTGACTAAACTGGCTGTGAGTGGTGTAATCGAGTAAGAGGCAATCCGTCAGCTGTATCCGATGTTACTACACCGAAAAAGCTCAAATTTATGACATAAGGAAGATAACACCAACTGTCCGATTTCCACATCGCATTGGAAAAAATCGTGCTGCAAGGAACATGGATCGTTCTACGACGGATATTCTAGCTCATATCAACAGCGTTTGCCAAAACAGTTCTCCAAACTGATTCTGTGTCCACCAGTCTAGACGGATTCACAACATAAATATACTATGGGTCACTTTAATGAGTGACTTAAAAGAATATCCAACAATTCCATGCTCATAATACACCTTGCTGGCAGATGTGGAACAAACCGATTATTAAAAAAGTGATGAAGTTAGAAAACCAACGTCACGGTCGCCCAATGACCTTCTTGAGAATACACAACCATACACCACGACGCGTAGCTGCTGTGAGATAGTGGAATCCAAAATTCCCATGGACCAACCGGAATGATCAAAGTTTTTCGGAACTAATCTCAACGCGCATGAATAGGAGAACGCACACGAGATGAATAGTCAAAACAATTTACCTGTAACAAAGTTTTCCATTAGGTGATAAGGCCAACGCGTAGCACGCAGGGGCTTCAAACGTTAATTCGGCTTTACGACGCCCAGGGCCGTTCAAATCCCATAAGGTTAGAGCGTTTGATTCGCCGCCTATGATGAGGTGACTCGCATCCTGAAAGTGAAACAAACAGTATTTTAATACTCTGAATTGAGTAACCCTCGGATATTTTAGCTAAAATTACGTGGTATGAGACGTAAAACCGTTTGAAAACTAGTCGTATAAGTCAGCCCCACGGAAGTAAGATACATTTTTTGGTGTGCACTACGCATGTGGCATGTGAAAAGATATCACAAACGCCCCAGCATAGTTTATAAAAATGGCTGCCATAAAACAGAACACCTACCGCTTCCACAGCCGACGACTGCCGACCAAAACCAAAGCATATGATGCTTAGATGATGGGTACAGATTCCTCCAAGAGAGTTGTATCATGCACGGATCAGTGTGCCCGACTTCAGAGCACACAAGGTGCGAAGTAGCTAGCTTCGGTTCTGATCGAACCTAATGGAGTGCAACTATATAAAAAATTCTATGAGGGCCCTTTAAGGTTTGCAGTTGCAGTTTCAGTCCGAACGTTTGCAGGCTGAGAATGGCGTCAACTTGGGTGGTGTGCAGCATACGGTGTGGACACAATCAAACCGGGAACGGAAGATATGATGCTTTGGGGACCAACCTCCGAGCTTTTCAAGCTAATGTTCTTTTCTCCAGTTGGATTGAACGGACAACGGTTGGCGTTACTTATGGCAGTTATTTTAGCCAAAGGTTATCAGTTTTCGTCCAAAAAGCTCAAACCAACAATAACTAGAGTTGGTTCTCGGTAGGTAGACAATTCGTGAAGTCAGAAGCAGTCCACGAGAACGGAATAAGGATATCGTATTTGCGGCTTTTCGTTACTTACAAAGCTGAATGGAAAGAAAGCCGCATACGGAACAGTAACGATTTTTTAGTCATAACCGTCAGTGTTTAGTTACGAACAGTTTGGAAATGGATCGGCAAAGGATATAACAAACCCCATCAAAGGGAACTGCATAAAATGGATTATTCTCTTATAAACCTTAGAGACTGTCATTTGCTGACCATGAGTTGACTTTTCTTCACTTCACTCAAACACTAATTTCATGGTATCTTCACGGAGAACTACAGCAGGTAGGGATGGAGCTGTTTGTTGGCCATTTCATGACCGCAGTTTCATGGACAGGAAGATAATCTGCTATGCATGAATTAGCGTATGACACTGAAGAAATTTATAACTGAATGTTGATTTATATAAACCGTTCAGCTGTAACGCATTTCCGGTGCCTAGCTGCCATACCGCCTGGAGGAAGCATGAGGGCTGAGATACTGCCAGGTCGCCTAAGCCTAGACAGGGGAAGTCGACAGGTAGAAATTGGGTTCGAAACACGGATCTTCCGGTCAGTAAATTCGCACTCTAAACATTTAAGCCATCTCGCCCTAATGATATATATATATATATATACTTATATTTGAATCCAACAAGCTTGGTCAGTTCAGCCGACCAAGCGATTATATGAACTTTTTATTAGTTGGATAGTAACTGTTGGAACAGATACCATAGCACAGAGGGCCCTACACGGGACTGATACGAATACGTAATACGGACGCACTTGAGTCTTGCGTGAACAGTCACTAGCCACCATTGCTGGACACATTCGGTTGGAGCGCGATCCGAAAATGAATAAAAATAGTGGAGTCGACTGAAAATAACACTTTTTGCGGAGCAGATAAGACATCTGATGAGTATTCCCATATTAATGCGCAATACAAAATATTTTTTCTATAAAGTATCGACTGGTAAATACAATCACAAGTAGGACATACGGTTAACATGTTTGTATAAAAGCAGATTAGGTGCTAAAGGGTACGGTAAAGGAGAGTACTTGAGGCACTCAACCAGCGTCGATCCAGAACCGCAGTAAATGCTCTCATGTGACGATTTGGATGAGACCAAGTTGGCCATCGCCTCTGCTGTGGAACGAATTAACAGCACTCAACACATCACGCTAAACGACCGAGCCAAATGGACATGGTGATTTACATCGGTCCGGTGAGTTGAAATCGCGCTCATCATGCTTTTGGCTAGTCCCGTTCCACAGCGTGACATATGTGATAAGGTAGGTGTGAAGCCATCCGATCTATAGCGGGCGGCATTCAACCGTCCACTGCATGAACTCATTAGTTTCCGCCTAATTGGTTCAGAAGCACCGTCGCTTCTGAATGGTAGGTTAATGTAGATGGGCATCTTCTGGAACGATGGGTTTCCTCTTTTTGTTGTGAAGGGCTGTCTCAAACACTATAACAAATTTGGCGACAAATTTTGACCTTTGAGTGCAATGGCAATCGATAGTTCGCAAAATAGTCACTACTATGAAGATTTTGCAGTGTTGATGCATTACACAAAAATGCTGGAGAAGTACGACCAAGGGAATAGAAAAAATCGAGCTAGCCTGCGATAGTAAGATTTGTGAACCTAGGTGGTGACAAAGAGCTATGTAGCATCGGAATAAACAATGGCAGGAATCAATACGAACAGGCAAAGTAGTGGACATACCGGGAACAACTTGATCGACCGAACATAACTGTCTGGGCAAAGGCAGTCGAAATTCATTAGGGGAGCGATATCTCTCGTTGACATCCCGGACAAGTTTGTTGCACTGATCGCTGACAAGTCCCATAGCTTGACGCTACCCCGAGCACCGGTGTAAGCGAAGTGAGCAGCCACAGCTGGGATTGCGTTGGAACTGGGAGATCCTGCCAAGCTTTCTGCGTCGCTGGTGGTAGCATTGCTTAAAGCGCGGCACGAATCAGACGAGGTAGCGAACGAGGAGGCACGACCGACTGGGCATGCTCCGATCGTGACTGCACAAACCACATCTCCATGTGGCAAACTAGCGAGGTGCTGGAGCCGCTTGGGTAAACCTGAGGCAGTTGCAGCACCTGGAGCGGACGCTAGCGCACAAGGCCTGAGTTGACCACCAGGAAGGACTACGAAAGAATAAGCACCGGGTCCGGAGGAGCTGGAGGACAAAAAAATCAAACGCTGTAACCCATATAGTCATTCTACAGAGTAAGAATAGTTTAGAAATGCCACAAGGAAAACGTGAATTCGGGAAAGTCGTTGGCAATGTTAACGGTATTGAGGTGAACTAAAGTAATGAGGCTAACCCAACGGCTGTAGTTCAAAGAGTTCTGGTGTTGCAAGCGGGACCTAAAAGAGAGATAAGGAATTCCATTTTCCATACCACCCACTCTGGATAAGACCCGACAAAAAAAGTATACTAAATGGAGCTAGTCCTTTCTTCGTTTTATAGGTTACCGACTGGATCACACCCAAAATCTCTCATTCGCAAGACTTGTACGATTTGGATCAAGGGCTATATGTGCTTTCCGGGATTGAGTCCACTTCAGGTTTTCGCATTTGACCACGAACTGATATTGGGAGCGTTGGTGCTGATAGCCTATGCTGGGAATTTCTCGACTAGCGAAATACACTCATTTGAAACCAAATTTGGTTTTGTGAGACTCACCTGGAAAACAGCTAAATCTCTCGTTTGTGACTAGTTTAGTACGTTCGTGGTTCATTGAAAGCTGGTCGCTACCTCCTACTTTCTTCTTGCTTCTGGTAAACCGGATTTCTGTCGGTTATGATAATCGGTACAATTACGACAGTTCGCCTGATCATTACCACCTGATTTTGGCTGTTAACTAAGGACTGTATAGTGAAAATACGACATTCTGTTATGAAGAGCGGCTTACGCGCTTTCATGTGTTCGCATTAGTTACAGAGGTGGTTTTGCTGCTGGTGAGAAGTATATTCCCGAGGATGCAGGTAAATACAGGTGCTGCGAAAAACGATGGCCAACGTCTTTGTCATATCAGAAGACAGTGGTTACACACGCTAAACTACTCAGGAGTCGGTTCACAATACGATGAAGAATCATAACATACTATAAGGGTGTTTTTGTGGATAGTGACGAAAACGATCACGTATAGAGTTTGTTTCCTCAATCAAACGAAAGCCGAGTAAGCACGCAACACCCTGGAAATTATTATGCGGTTGAGTGGGCTTATAAAGTTTGCTTGGACGACCACATACAGACGATTTACATTATTCGGTTCACGCGTTCTCAGATGGGCATGAATCATAAACTACACAAAGTTACAATTAGGCTTGCGAATTTTTTGTTTCAATTCGTCAGATGACTGCACTGAGAAGCACAGAAGGCTGAAACCTCAGCACTCATCCAAAGTTCCGTAGACAAACAGGGTTGGTATTCAAACGATGGACACCATCGGCCGTGAATTAAGTCAACCCCATAAGAGCATGTGGATCTGCGCCAATGCATGTTTTATGGACCATCGGTATCACAGAGGGTTCCAGAGCGTACAGAGTTTTCTTAGCAAGCTGGTCGTTCTGACGTGGTGACATTGAAATACGCCATGTTCATGATCCAAGAATTTTCCAAACACGAGGTCACATGGCTTCGGTATGAATATTCCATTGCCCAAAGTTTTGTGTGGCGCTACCTGTACACTAAGGTTTTTCCAAATTCTCCAAAGACAAATCTCGACTATCGGATCACACAATCGGCCTCTAATGGAATGAACACAGAACACTTTATTGGGTATCAGAAACAAAGAGAAACATGGTGAGCTGAATCACGAAGCGCAAGTCCACAGTTTCAAAGCACGACAAACAATGGGAACATCAACAAGTTTAAGGGTGTCTGGAAAAATGAAGTGGCTATGCCATGTTCAAAGTCATATCCACCACAGCCGGATGCCGAAAGGTAGGCGTTTTTGTCCCCGTACATCATCACACATTTTAGAATCTGTCTGCCCCATAAAAATCAGATTGTGTATCAGTCTCAGAAGACAAAATCAGTCTATGCTGAAAAACCAAAAACTGCTACCGATTTGCCTTCCACTTATGAGTGTCACATCGCTTAGCTGTGGAAACTTTTCGGTGAACAGCTACTAGGCTAGCCGAAGGATGTTCGACGGCTGAGCAAGCTGTCAAAGCCTAGGTATAAGCAGTTCAAATGCCCGAACCTGTCAATACGTCACGTCTTGAGATTAGGGTGACCACAGTAACCACTTGGGATAGGAATTTAACGAGCATCAATAGAGGTCTCATTTAAATTGCGCGAGGTGAAGTTTCCATAGATTACTATGAGAATTCACTTTCCAAGAATGGCATGACATTGTAGCCTCAATACTTGTACGTTCTAGACGCGAGTTTGCTTTGTTTATGTCAAGGCAACTGTGGCTTCCACCTCGGCTACCAACCATCCTACAGTCTGCAGAAGCTCCAATAAGGCGAAATTTCCCAAAGAAATACAGCTTTATTGATATGTCACTAGGAAAGAAACTAAACATATCAACCGCCTGGACGCTCACCTTTTGCTCGAACCCCGCCAACGAGTACCAGCCGAAAATTCAGATACCTGCAAAGCAGGAAAGTAGGAGAAAATTAACTAAGCGTTGTGCGAAACTTAACGTGAATGCTCAGAATCAATTTTCACGAGCGACAAAATTAGCTCTGCCCACAACCAACAAAGCAAATGTATCACAGCCCGCCATCCTGGTGGAAAGGGTTAAAAATGCTTTAAAAGGTGACTTGAACAGTGCAATTCCGGAACCTAGGTGATGATTGCCCGTTCGTTCTATACGATCAACAACCGTCATAAGAACAAATCTGAATACTGCAACTACAAACCGTTTTTGTTTATCTACTGGTCAATTATGAGGCGGAGCATCAACTCAAAAGGGAGAAATGGGGTTGTGGAAAGTCAACGCACCCCGAGAATTCAAAAAACCAAAATGGTTATCAGTGCTGTGTATTGTATAGCAACAAGAAGGGCGTTGAAATATTCACCGATGGCACACAAACAAACGTGTTCTGAAGCGGAATAAGCAGTGTGGTACGCTGCTCAAAGGGTTGACGAAGGACCGGGATCGTACATCAACTCTCGGGGCGACCTAGGCGAGGGCCTAGCAACCTGCCATCAGATGTGATTTCACTGTAACTTGCGCCAGCTGAATGCAAGTTCGACACAACAATGCGAGTAGGTGTGTGGCTTGGCTCCAAACTATGACAAAACAAAATCCGGTGCAGGTATGCAAGCGCCAGAATCAGATGATACAAATATTGTTGTGATCTGAACTAGTCATTCGATCGTTTTGCAGATCGATTGCAACCGCCATACAAGCCATCCTGACCACCCATCGAGACTGACATTGGGTCAACGGCCCCATCAGTCACATTAACTGTCTTTGTCGGTTTATGGCGCGGAGCATATAAATTGAAGGTTTAACCAACCAAAAATGGATCAGCAGAATCACAGCACGGAGAAGGCCTAATTTTACTCACTGACTCATAAATGGGAAAAGCAGCATACAGCAGACGGCAGTGGTCACACTTTCATATGTGTGTTGATGTGGCAACGCAGATTGAAGGGAAATTGGCTTTTTATGAAAAAACAAGCTAACCGACAATCAGATAGATAGTTAAACTCAAACGAACCAATTCTGTTAGCCGAGTGAGGCATCGCAGCCGGACAGTTCACCTACATGCGTTTTACGGGCTAGCGTAGCTAGCCCACTACGCTTGCCATTATCATCCGAAAACACCCCTTGTAGCACGTTCTGCGCTGTAGCTACGACAACAAAAACGTCATCCTCAATAGGTGCGTGTACAAACCCTGGGTTTTATTTCGAATTTTAATTCCAGCAAAGTATACCCTCATAACTTTGGTAGGCTGGCACTGGACCTTTAAACCTCTCTCTAATTCCGTTCTTCTGAGCTATTTGAATCAATCAATACGGTTGCATGGCAACTGAGAACCTGTGCTCTTACACTGTTGTCCTCGTTTGTACTCATGAAGATAACAGTATACAATTGTTCGATGAAGATCAATAATCAGTATCATGTTGACCTTTTAGTAAAGCATTCTAGCCGTATTTTGTATTACCGGTCGACCAGGAAGGGATTGATCCCTGTACTTGGTGGGAAACGTTGCAAGATATGGACGCCAACCGACGTCATGTGCGTTTCTGCCATCCGTTTATCTTTAGTTTGTCTAAATGAATGCTCGAAAGTGCAGGCACCTCGGACGTTTGTGATAGACTAGCACCTCCTGCTCTCGACCACAAAGCCTGATAAAATAAGCCGGCACGGTTGTACAGCATTTAAGTGCTTTGTACTGGTTGGGGACCTTGGCTTCGTGCGGGCAATATGTGAAGACAGGTGTTCTCTTTTCATGCACATCATTTTTGTGCAACAAAGTCGTAGTAAAGAAACTGAACTAAAGAAAGAGTGGATGCGGAAAAAATCGAATAGAAACAAATAACTGCCCATGATGTTCCACCGACAGGGTTAACCACCCTATGACAGAGAACCCAACGCCATACTTCGAGTACCACCCTGTTCACGTTACCTATATGCAACTTGCACGGAGTTGTCGAAGGCAAGTTGTGACGAGAACTCTCGCAGAAACACAACTCAAAGTGAAATGATCAAACCTTTGTTTAGCAAAACTATTCTTTCAACCAGGGCCGGGAGTACATCCGTCTACCTCTCCTGGGGCGTGGAAATCAGTGAACACCTGTTTCATCTCTAACATATTTAGCTGGATTTATGGTGAGCAGCAACCGATGTCGGGTTAGTGATTGGCATTCGATCTACCGGGTTTTTCGGAACCCATCCAACCGTGACGTGATAGCAGCGAGTGGTTGAAGGACTGGCTGACTGCACGAGTGAGTGCGTGCGTGATCAGTAAGGCGACGAAGAGATGGTTACGTCCGGTTTGGAGAAAGCAATTGAAGTGCGGGCAAAACAAGACAGCTTTAATGTCACGAACGAAAGTTACCATACACTAGATACAGTGGATGTTGACAATTAAAATGCTGCAATCGTGAGTCACGATTGAATGCACGAACGGTTAAAACCCCTCAGCTCAAAAAAGCAATAATCTGCATTCAAAAACAACCTTAGGAAGAAAAAGCATGAGATAGGTGAATGTGTGAACTTATCTTAATTTAGCCAGCTTGAGCAGGTCAACTAGCAAGCCGGCAGTTAAAAAATGGCTACTTAATCCAACGAATCAGAAATATTACCCAATTTCAAAATCCGCGTAAGTAGGAGCTACATATCAGGATTATGGATACTTGAAAAAAATCGACCGCCTCCGCTAATTAGGCAATAATTTGTGCGTCGCAACGCATACCAGCCGTAAACGCCAAACGCATAAAAAATTGAATGCCCGTGCGCGGGCAGAATGTGTTTCAGATACATTTTTCAGTTGCTCAATATGTTCATCTCGAAGATGATCAGATGAACACAAATTTGCCACAATCCGGTTATCTCTTACTGTCCCATATCTTCTTATCCAACATTTTCACGGTGGCCCAGTGTATTTCAACGTGTCTGGTCAGTTACGTGGTTTCGTTGAATCATACGTGATTCGGTGTACCGTGCTGTTTTCCATAGATGGACCGCAGTTGAGAAACGCTGATTGCGTAGCGTTCTGTGCAATTAGTGAGGGAACCAGGGAGGAAAATCGTGTGGCGGGCGGCAGCTAGTACTCGCACAAGCAGGTATGGTCAGTTAACAATGCCAGCACAGCACTCCATCCAAAAATGACTTTGTACAAAGATAAGCACTTTATTAGAATCACACTGGTGCAAATGGCGCCCGTAAGAGGCAGACTATTCTCTCTGTAGTTGCGTCCATCGATTTCCAGTTCCTTATCTAAATGTCCCACTACATTTTCGAACCTAAACAAGACAGTTCTCAGGCAACACTAAACGATTAGGCACATCGAGTAGGGAACACATGTAATCCATAAGGGAATGTACACCCTGTCTTTGGCAGGACTGACGTCCGGCCGCGCCATAGGTACTGTAGGTAGACAAAAGCTGTCCCGGTCGTTAGAAGTGATTTCGTCTTCAGCCAGTCTATCGGAAAATAAGCAACTTCTCAAGTAAGGTAATCTATCTACCACACCTATTACGTCGATTGGCTGATGAACAACGATGAAGTTGAGATGCGATTCTTTCAGTTCTTGTAGTAGCACTACACACTATGCAGGTGCGTGGCATAGCTTCGATCATGTAGGAGAATTATTTAGGTCATTGCAATTGGTATTTGCTTCTGAAGGAGAGCACCACAAAACGAACCGCTACACAGTGTCCCGATTACGTGCAGGTGTAGCATATACTACTGAAAAAGCAGGAAACTAGCTTTACTTGTTGACATTGCCTGTAGTAAAGATAGACAAGTCACCTCGTATTTAACCTGACTACCAGGAATCTCCGAGCGTTGCGGTCGCAAATCCTGATAACAGCTGTTTCTCATAGATGAACAGCTACGGTGTCGAGTACTAACGATCCCCCGAGGAATTTGCAGCAGAGCAGTGATAGACAATGAGTTAAACATACCTGCGACGACCGGCCACCGCCACCACCCCCACCTGAACCGACAGCGGGGGCACTTGAGGTTGTTGGGTACGAGGAACTACTTTCGGACTTCAGTTGTGGACTGGAAGCTGGGTGGAAAAAAGCGACAATTAATAAACGAAAATAGTACACCATCTGTGTGGGTATACACCAATGGAGTCACATGGTGAATAGGTTATTGAGGATACTTTCGGAAATAGTACAATTTGATTAAGCGTTTAATTATTGGGTTTGAGGAACTCGCTAGTAATTTTTGTTCCACGTCAGCACCAACAAGCAAGAAATTAACAAGAAGACGCAAGTATTCATCGCCAATAGCAAGTATTTTATGTTATCGAAGGTCATATAGACTAGGGGCGTTGTAAAACAAACATGGTGTTATCAAACGAGGATCGCTCCTATGGATCTCACTCACACTGGTGCCATGTGAACCAGGTCTTTACTGGGAAGGCCGATCAGCTAGCCAGCTATCGGAGATAACTAAGTGTCAGTCAAATTATTCCTTCGGAAGAAAGCTGTTTGGTTAGCAAACGGCTCTCATTCTGTTTAGCCAATTTTACTCGAACGTACAATAAACTGCATCGTTGCTCGAGAGAGACATCATTTTTCTCAAATGCTTATAGGTCTTGCTAAGTGACTACGAGATTTTCCCTAGTTTGAAGGGTGGCCCCTTGTCAATATGCTTCAGTAAGAAACTCAATATTTTGTTCACAGACCCATTATGGAAACTCGCAGTACTGAAACAAGGAGGTTCATGCATTGGAAGAAATCCACTATTAAAGAAGCCGTCATTGCAGAGGAGACTACCAACAGCACTGTTTCGAATATTTTGTCATTTCAATAAACACTTTTAGTTTGGTTGAACATTGAACGAATAATAAGAAATCATGCATTAGTGTGTTATCTTCGACCAAACTACATTCCACAAGCAATCTATTCGATTTTATTCGTATTGAATAAGGAGCGGATATTCCCAAACCACTAGTGCTGTCGATTAAGTTAGCAGCAAAAATGTTCACAAGTAACAGTAAAAGGCGAAGCAACAGAGCTAAGAAAATAGCATTTTTTGGGTGGAAAATGGTGTAGTGTAGAAACAAGTTTTGCAGTTAGCAGAATTTCAGTATCAAACTGAGACAAGCGAGAGTGACAGGTCCACTCTCATCGGAAAAATTCGAATCCACTATGTTGGGACGGGTTGAGATCTACTCAACTCAAACACTGATTTCTAAGTAGGTCCAGTTGATCAGTCTGGAGTGGGACTCGTTGATGGGAAGCCACTTGAACTTAGTGTAGTCAGTTTCCGCAGTTAAAGGAGCTGGTATCAGAAGTCGAGTAGAGGATTTATCTATGGTGACCTAATTTACAACTGCATGCTACCTGAACGCAGATGTATCATACCGTGTGTATCAAGCACATTTCGTCTACTTTTCCACTTTTCGTAGCAGGTTAGATCGCATCAATAGGACCGTGACATGAACCCCGAGGTTAGCCACCCGCGAAAGTAGTTCAGGTATTCAGAATTACGCGATCATCAAGCAGCCATGAAAGCATGGTAGTCGACCCGCTGAAGGGGACATTGAATTCAAAGCCAATCCAGATATGATCAATATGGTCACGTTGTCCCCTGTGTTTTTAGTCCACTTAACAGTTGCGACAATCGTGGGTCTCAAAGAATTTCGCTTCTTGAGTGTGGGTAAACTGAGTTCATCTAATTTTCGATGCTTCCGTTTCACTTGCACAGGCACTGCATTCCGATGAAAACGGAAAGGGACCGTTGGATTGAAATAAACCTGAAAACATCTAGATATGCCAAGCTGCAGCAACCCTGTTTTTTTTTATAACAAAAATGCATGAAACGGCCATCGTGATGCCGGGATTTCAAGAAACTGAATGTCGACTGGCGCTTGATAATTGGTATTTTAAAAAATAGTTCAGCTGTAACCCCCCTCCAGTGCCATGTCACCCGAAGGAAGTATGAGGGCTGAGATACTGCCAGGTCGCCTAAGCCTAGACAGGGGAAGTCGAGAGGTAGAGATTGGGTTCGAAACACGGACCTTCCGGTCAGTAAATTCGCGCTCTAAACATTTAAGCCATCTCGCCCTAATGATTTATATATATATATATATATATA